AACATAGAACAATCAGCGAATTCAGTCATTTAATTCATGATTTTTTTTCTATTTTCACTTTGAACAAACATGTCAGTTGTTTGCTTAGTTAACAAGCTCTGCCTTTATTATAAGCCATTTGTGACTAGAAATCATTGAAGCTGTGGTTGGATTTCAGAAACACAATAAACCTAATTAATTCCACCCTTAATAATTTGGAGTGTGTAGTGACTGACCTGGTCTAGACTGAAATTTCTGTCTTTGCCCTTTCTAAGGAGCAGAGCTTTGCTAAATCAATTCATGGCATAAACTAAGGTGGTAGAATTTTTTAACTGATACACAAAAATTATACATATTAGTGGGGAAACATGACATTTCTATACATGTATTCATTCTGTAATGTTTAATCAGGTTGAACATTCCCATTTCTTTTAATTTTGTGATAATAGAAAGCACCCGCAATTGTAAATGGAAGATGGACTCAGCCATTGAGAGGACACAGGATGCTGTGGGAGGGACCACCATAAGCTGCAGGCTCAAGACCCTTCTAAAGGGACCAGCTACCTTTTAGCTGGCAGTGATATGTGAGAATGTGGGCCTAATGTGGCCAGATTTTTCAAATTTCCATTATAATTTGAAGATGTGAATTTCTAGGTAAAATCTTCCTGCATAAATTTTGGATTTGAATTTTTTTAAAGTTAGTGTTATGCACCCACCACAGTATGGGTCAACAGCTCTCAGAGTATGGTCCTGGACCAGAAACATGAGTACTACCTGCAGCTTCACGGACTGGCACAACTCAGGCCACGCCCAGGTCTACATAATTGGAGTCTGTGGAGTGGGGCCTAGCAGTCTTGTTTTAATAAGCCCTCAAGTAGGCTTGCCAGGCTTACAGATATTCAGTGTAACCTACATTAAAATGGTGTTTGCTGGTTACCTGAAGTTCAGATTTAACTGAATGCCCTGGTTGATACTCAGCAACCCCAGTATTGATCAAGCAAAGCATATACATGAGCCAGGCAGACTATGTTGATATCTCCTTGATACATCCTAACTGCAGGATCTTAGACAAGTGATGTGGCTTTTCTGTGGCTTAATTTATTTGTGTGCAAGATGAGGATAATAATTTCCCCTCACAATGTCATCATTAGAATTGGGTGATTTGGTAGGCATCAAGCACGCAGTATGTTTACCTTGGGGGAGTAAGCAACGTCTAAGTCTTTACTATCAGAAATATTTTTATGTCCCCTCTTCTCTATCGTCATCATCATCATCATTGCCACCACCACCATCCAACTGTGGAGAAATATGGACTCATCTTCCTTCACTTGTCTTTTCCTGGGTTTCATTTGTGTTTAGTTAAATAACTGGTTGTCATGCCTACTCCCCTGTAACTTCCTGTTTCCTGACACTGTGACTGTCTGGCAGAGGGAAACTTGAACTTCCTTTTCATGTCAGCATCCTGCTTCCAGAACTCACCATCGTCTTCAGTGTCTCTGCTGTATTCAGGCCTACATGCTGGCCTTTCTTCTTCAAACATGCCCCACCTAGACATTTCACACTGGCCCTTGAGTCATCAGAGGGCTTGGATGCTTGCTCTCATTTGTAGGAACAACTGATGTTCCCCTCTCTAAAAGTTCACTACTTTTTGAGAAGTCCCTGTAGCTTCTTTTTCTAGACAAGGAACATGGAAAGGCTTGACTTGTGGATCCAAGGAGTGTATTCAAAGGGGGTCAGTAAATAATTCCTGTTGAGAGGATGGTTGCAAGTTGTTCAAACTTGTCCCTTCATGAAGCGATCTTCCCGGCTTCCATATAGCCACACATGACAGACTCACATATACACTGTGATAACCATCTAGATACAATATTGTGGTTCTCGGTGTACCATTTTATTGCTGTTCTGGGAAGGAAACAAAATGCATTATTTTATTAAATAAGACTTTCCCTGTATCACCGTGGAGGCCAATTTTATTAGCTCTTTTTATGGGAACAGACATCATTGCCTTGATGGGGAGGTGAGGGAGTGCCGAGAATCATGTCTTGCCATTTTCATGCTCCAATGGAGGCCACCAGTGTGTTTTAGTTGGAAATTATCAGGAAAGTTCTTCAGATCCTGCAGAAAACATATAGCTTTCAGTTAGAACATAATTAGAGATGATTCAAAACACACATTGCTCACATTGCTCACACAGTCAATATTTGCTCATATACTGTGGGTCTGGGTATGTACCTGATATCCAGGAGACTTGAGTTACCAGTATGTCAGTAACCTCCAAAAAAAGGATTTCTCTATCTTCATCTGTGAGACTCCAGAGGCCACTTAGGCAGTACATGCCCTTTAAGATTCAAAGAAGGAAGAGAATTCAAATAAAGTTGAAGAATTCAATGAAATACTGAATTTTGATCCTTTCATTTTAAAGCCTACAATATTCACATGCTACCTCACTGAACTGTTAGAACAACACAGCCACTAGGTCCTAACCTGTGTTCATTTCTCAAGTAAGGACAGCCTGGATGAGGTCAGCCCATTCACCACAGTTGAATGCCCACTCTGCTCCGGGTAGTAAGCATGCAGGGCTGAAGGCAGACATGTCTTCTCTTCGAGGGTCGTGTTGCTCGGTGGGGCAGAAATGAAGTATCTGCTACTCTGTCCATCACTGCAGAGTTTGCAGAGTGGCTGAGCTGAGGTGACCACTGTACCTTCTAGTGTCAGGTGGTCTATGCATTTGGTCATTGTCAGGCATTGATTTTTACCTTAGCAGTACTAAGTCTATGAAAGTGATAACACTGCCCTGTCTCCAAACCCTTTCCCTCCTCTGAGACTCACTAGGACCCCTCTCTCCTGCCATCTGAGCTGTGCTATAGAGCCTTTCTCTGTCTCCCATAATTACCCTACACAGTCCTTAATGGAACTAGGGGTGGGTCATTGTCTTTCTGATTAAGTTACTTCTTGCAGGGTAATTTAGGAGTTAAGCCTAAGATTATAAACTTGGAGCTTTATGCCTTGGCCTAATGGGTTTTTTATTTATTTGGTAGCCCAGGCTAGCCTTGAACTTGAAGCGATTGACCCTCCTGCCTCAGCCTCTCACATGCTGGAATTAGGCATGTCCACTGTTGTATTAGTCAGGGTTCTCTACAGGAACAGAACCAGTCAGGTTGACAACCAAGATTACCCCACCATGCCTGACTGGCCCACTGCTTTTAAAATGTGCTGTGCCCTTGCCCCTGCCGTCTGCTTCCTGATTTCAGTTGTTCACTTCCCTGCCACCTCTGCTACCTCCCCAGTGTCTTCCCTGTCTGTTGCCTTCATCTTACTGACCTGTCGTCCTCCCTTAGTTTTCTCCTTCCTTCCCTTTGGTCCACCTGGCCTCCTCCTTTGTCTGCCCTCCTTCTCCCCTTGTCACTGTCTTCTCCCACATGCTTCTTTTGTGGCCTGCTTTCCTCCTGGGCCTGTTTTCTTCCCTCATCTTTTATCTTCCACTGTCTTACTCTATTTTATCTAATTCCTTCTTCTCTCCCTCTCTACTTCCTCATTCCTCTCCTTGCTTCCCTAGTTTGTTACAACTCCCCCATCTCCATTCCTGGTCCCCCACCTACCCAATACCTTCATTCTGTTATCTTCTTGGCTTCTATAGTGCATTTAGTTTGTGACTGACTCCTCCTGAAAAGAATATCAGGCTTTCGTTAAAACTGGCAGGACTGGTGTGTGACCCTTCCAGGGCCTTAGGACATATACCAGACTGACTCCACACCTGTTTGTCTAAGCATCCCCTTAAGGTAAATTTTAGGAGTATCAGCTGTGAGCAGTGCCCTCCCTTTCCTCTTCCCTTTTCCTTTCTCTGTGCCTCCTTCTCACTGGGAAGAGGCTAAGCATTACTGGTCTAAAGGCCTGGTAGTATTTGTATTTTCGGGTCAGGTCAGTTCTGGCTGTGATGTAGGCCTAGGGACCTGAGGTCCCAAGACATGGCTGGTGGCTTTGCTTCCATGGACTCTGACAATTGAGCACAAGGAGTTCAGTGTCATTACTCCAGGGTCTTGAGTAGGCACAGAAAAGTAGGAGCTCAGCAGGTACTGGATTGAAAACAGTGAGTCTAAACAGAGTGGGTCAGTCAGAGCTGCATGAGATCGAGTACTAGCTCTGCTTCCCGCCAGCTGTGGGCTAGTGGCCTGACTTGCTAGCCTGGGGAGAGTAACTCTGTACCCTACTTTCATCATCTGTAAAATGAGATAATAAGTATACTTGGGGCTCTGGGGTAGACAAGTGAGATGGTGTGGATAGGTGCCCAGCATATAACAAACACTCCTGTGGTGTGAGTCTTCAGGAAAGGAGGATGGGAGACGATACTGGTTCAGTCAGTAAAGGGCTTACTATCCAAGCGTAAGGACCTGAGTTTGATCTCCAGGACCCACATAAAAAGCCTGACATGGTAGAATGCTTCTAATCTCAACTCCAGGGAAGTAGAGGCAGGTGGATCTCTGGGGCCTGGTAAATCAGTTAGTAAGCCCCAGGCCAGTGGGAGACCCAGTCTCTGAAAGGTGGACAGCTCCTGAGAAACAACACCAGAGGTTGATCTCTGTCTTTCACACAGACATGCACCCAACACACACATTGCCCTCCCCTACCATGAACATGTACACACACTTTCAAAAAAAGAGAAGGAAAGAAAAGAAAATGTATGTTGCTGAAGTGCAAAGAGGCCCTGAGGTGTTCCTTAGTCACTCTGCCATTGTCATACTGGCAACTTGAGCCAGCATTGGAATAAATGGTTAGGTGTTTTATCATTTGCTCTTTCAAAGAAAACTGTACTAGGATGGTGGGATGACTCAGTGGGTAAAAGTGCTTGCTGCCAAGCCTGATGACCCGAGTTCAGTTCCCTAGATCAACAGGGTAGAAGGAGAGGGCCAACTCCCATAAGTTGTCCTCTGAATTCCATACAAGCACAGTGGTATATGAACACACACAC